TGGAAGTCTCTTAATCATTAATCTTGAAGCTTACATTTTCTTCCAAGTTTAGTTCCATTCCCACTGTGGTGGGATTTGAACTTATCTCCAAAACAATTAGCTGGGCGTCAGGAGAACTAGACCCAATAAGATTAACATTATGCACCCATCTCCTATTGCAGTAAGTTTATTTATTTACAATTTGTTTCAATTTCACTTCATGACATGGAGGGCTAAACTTACCGCAGCCGGTGGCGGCCACAACGGGGGCACTGGGGCTAATTCTTTGGCCATCTATATGTGAACTGCCTGGTGTCAGGGCTTCTATTGCTTTAAGGGCAGAGTCTTTTCCTCCAAGAACTATAAACAAATTTGCCATCTGGTAGCTCCTCAGTGCCAGCCTCACCACTGGGAGTGGTGGCCACTTGTAGCACTACAACCGGCCAACAACAGCAAGATAGAGGAAACTCTGGGGGCTAGGGTAATGTAGTTGGGTGTGCTGGGCCCTGTTAGGAATGTGCAGCAGAGTGCTTTTGGTAAGGAAAGAGCATTATTTCCATGGGATGGCATTCTACTAGCCACAGTGACAGATTTGGATGGGCAGTTAGACACCTCTAGTTTTTACTGGACAGTTATTTCCACTTGGCAGAGAGCATCGACCAGTTGTAAAGTACCATCAGTTTTGGGAAGATACCTTTCAGTGGCTCCTAATTGGTTATTTAAGGGCTTCATTTAGCCTCTAAGTGGTATGGTTACCTTTCCTTCATTCAAGTGAATTTAGTAAAATTGAGAAGTTGACAATTTCCACTCTTCACCTTCTCCCCCATTTCTATTGTGCCCACCATTAACCCCCATCCCTGCTTCCCGACATCCCACACGTACACACACACACACCCCCCAATGCCTTGATGCCTACTCCCATGGGCTAGATTACATTTTGCACATCATTTGTAAATTTATGTCATGAATCAATCCATCTGATTGCTAATAGTCTCACGAGGTGGTAAATGAACACAGTTCAAAACTGCCCGTTGTCTGGGAACTAAAGATGCTGCTATAAGAATGAGAATGATGTCCACATTTTTATTATTTTTGCTTGCTGGAATCACATTCAAAGAAAGTATTTGTGATTCCAAATGTTGAGCATATATGCAAAACTAGCTTTTCGGATCATTTTATGTCATGAATTCTCTAAGCAAATAAAACAAAAATGTTTAGACTTTTAGACATTAATTCATATTTTAATCAATACAAGTATCCATTTTTGAAACGCCACTGAACAGATTTTACATGAATGAAACTGGTGTCAGCACAGTGAAATACTTCATATAAAGGGTTCAATGTTTTAAACATGTGTAATGTCTAATACAGATTGTGATGTTAAAGCAGATTACATTTCAAACATTTGAAACCACCTTTTTTGGTGCACACAGTTCAGATGCAATAATAAATTAAATGCATCTCCAAACTGCTTGCAATTATCGGAATGCATGTGGAACATAAGCAAACCCCACATTTTCATTGGCATTTATGGAATGTGATGGGTTGCAATGGGAAATCAACACTAGGAATAACCAATACCACCTGTCAATGTTGGTAGTAGCTAGTTCCTCAGTTCACTATGCCTATGTCCTTCTGTAAATCCTGTAGAATAATTCAAACTGCATGTAGAGATTTATATTCAATAAGGGCAGAAAGGTTTGCTATTGGTTAAATGTATTCATACAGTGAAACAGGACTGAAACAGCAATCAGTACAATGATCAAATTAAACCCGTAAGTTAGCTGTATATATGGTTTGATATTGGAAAGTAAATATTGATTCCTAACATTTTTTGAAAGACTTGTATTAGGTCCAAAACACACTCTGAAGAATATTTGACAGATTATTGTGTTCCTTCAGCTAACATATTAGTATTAAATCTAAAAAAGTATGTCTTACGTTTGTCCATTGAGCAAGTTGGACCTGCACTCATTAGTGTTTAGAAGAATGGGAAGTTGGAATGTTTTTGAAGTGTTATTGGGAGGTTGGGTGTTAATGAGACATGAAAAGTTCTGAGGGGACTTCATAGGGTTGATGCTGAGATGATGTTTGCCCTCAGGGGAATCTAGAACTAGGGACATTGCTTCAAAATTAATGGGTCTCCCATTTAAAACTGAGATAAGGAGGAATTCCTTCACTTACAGGGTTGTTAATCTGTGGAATTCTCTACCCAGAGATCAGTGGAGGTTGGGTTTTAAATATATTCAAAGCTGAATTATAAGGGAGACAAACAGCAGGCAAGTGGATTTAAGACGATAATCAGATCAGCCATGATTGAATTGAATAGCAGAGCAGTCTGCCAGTGCTGAATGGCCTACTCCTAATTCTTATGTTCTTATAGAGGAGCATGTCTCCCACTCTGTAATTAGCCTACACAATTGGGGTAGAATTTGCTGTTGCAGTGAAACTCTGGGAGTTATGCCCATTCTATGCCAGTTTGCCAATCTTAATCTGCTCCCAGATTCCCTGTACATTTAATAAGATTGAGATGGGGCATTAAAAAACTTAACATGATTACAACGTAATTGAAAATTGCCCTTTGCCTCTGTAATATATCAGATGGTGCCAACTGTCAAGTCTCTTTACAGTGCATCATCAAAATAATCACTCACTGCTACGAATTCTACTAATTATGTTCTTGTGGACACAAGACAAAAGAATTGAATTGGCTCACTTGGCACTGCTTCTAGAGGCACTATGTAAACTATAATATGCTGAGGCACACAGCTCCGTGTGACCTTATGTGCCTGGCCCACACTTCATTCAGTGCAGTTATCCCAAGGGAATTTAGGTACTTCTGTGTAGTAGTACTGCATGCACAGATTTTCACAGCCACGGCTGAATAGGCAGAACTCTTGCCTGAGTCATAACGTTATGAGTTTAAATTCAACTCCAGAGCATAGAGCACAAAACTAATCTAATGTTCCAGTGCAGTACTGTGGGAGTGTTGCACTGGCAATGGTGTTGCTGTCTTTCAGGTGACATGACCAAGACACAATCTGCCCTCCCTGGTCAACGTGAAAAATCTCATGACATGATTTCAAAGAGCGTAAAGAAGTTACTTCTGGTCTCCTGACCATTATCTCTCCAACCAATATCACTAAAACAGATGGCTTGACCATTATAACATTGCTCTTTGTGTGAATGTACAGTATACTAATTGTTTACCCCCTTGTTTCCTATGTTACAAAAGTGAGTGCATTTCAAATACTTTCTTCACACATCAAGAAAATACTATACAAATGTAAATCTATTTCTTGCTCCCAAACAGCAGTTATCCATCTTGCTGCTTTTTATCTTAACAACAACCTAACCAATCTTTTACTCAAAATTATTGAAAATTATTTTTAAATCTGTTAAAAAAAAGCTTGCAAGGCTGCACTCCCTTTTTGCTAATGATTTAAACACATTAATTTTGAGCAAAAAGCTTTGTGTTCCAATTAAAGATGATCATTCTGAAATGTTAACTGGTTCTCTGTCCAAATATGATTCCATACCTGCATTTCTAATATGCTCTGTTTATGGTTCAGATTTCTAGCATCCATAGTGTTTTGATCAAAAGGCTTATCTACTTGTCTGCTGGGCAATGTAATGATTGCACTCCAGGCACAACCAAATTGCAGATAGTTTCAATCCTTTATTGTGAAAAGTATTGACAAATATCTTAATAGATTCACATGCTACAGTTTGGAGAATTAATTGCACACGCTTTCTTTGAAAAAAAACTTCATCCACATTGGTTTCAACTTTGAATTCCAACAGTGGAATCACATCCATCTCAATGGAGCAGAAAATGAAAGAAATTGCATGCTAATTGATATCTATTTTAAATCCACAATGATGTAGAAAAATTGCAATACATGCTGTTTTGGATGGAACAGGGTTCTGCTAATATGCATGGGGGCTCTGTTCGAAGACCTCAAATAACTAGCTATAGTTTGAGCAAATTCAGGTGTAGCACGAGAACAGGTGTAAGTGGCCTCGACTTGTTCAACCTTTGCGCCATAAATATTCTTTGCCATGCGAATGGAAGGAAAGAAACATTTAAAAAAAACATTGCATTTATTTAGCACCTTTTTGCAATCTCAGCCCATCACAAAGCACTCTCCAGCCCTTCTTGTTATTTGAAGTGCAGTCGCTGTTGTAATGCTGGAAAAGACTGTGGCCAATTTGTGCACTGCAGATTCCACAAGCAGCAATGAGACGATGGCCAGATAATCTGTTTTTCATTTAAATGATGTCCGTCGATGGACAAGTATTGGCCAGCACACTGGGGAGAACTCCCTTAGTATTCTTCAAATGATGCAATGGGATCTTTTACATTCCCTGAGTGAGTCCTCTGTTTAAAGTATTGTTGAAAAGATGGATTTTTGGGTGCAAATTCCAGGTCACAACTTTCACTTATGTAATGAATCTGATACTAGAGATCACAGGATTAACACATTCACCAATCTGACCTGCTTCTAACAGTCCGACTATTACAGCACATATTCTGTTCAATTCTGTGAATGATATTCGAAACTATATATTGCTTATTAGTATCATAAAGTGATTTCTTTGTTCAAGATTTTTCTAGTGCCAGTGAAGTAGTCAGGACTCCACCTGTTTTTAATAGGAACTTCTTTCAGTCGCTTATGGCATCATTTCTACTATTGAAATCTGTCTTAAAAGGCATTTTAAGCGTTTGCTATGGTCAATTCCAGAACTGAAGTGACATGAAATTAAGACAATTTGTGCTTATAAAATACATACACTGAATTTAGCCCTGTTTAAAAAGCTGAGAAATTCCTTTAATTAGCTAAAAGCCACGAAACACATTATTTATTTCAATTCTGTTATGCTTGGCAGGTTGCTATCCTAGTCAAGGATAAAAGATTCTGTGTTTGTAAAAATGCAGAGATTTCTTTAGCTCTTGTGTTCTTTACACAACATTTAATAAAAGCATATAAAATGAAGAAATGGAAACTAAAACTTCCTACCTTTGCTATTTGGCAGAACGTCAGTTAGAAAATAAAGGTCTAGTTTTCTTGTTCTGATGGTGGATTTTCTTCTGGATGCTCTACTCCATAAGTTTATATAACTAGGCAGAGCACTTGCTCTTACGCAGTTTGCTACTTCAAACTGCACAGCAGAGAGAGAGAGAGTCACTTGACAGCACGTCTGTGTAAGGGTGCGTGTGTGTGAGTGAGAGTGGGCTATTTCGCAAGCTGTTTAATGGGCTAGACTGAGATCAGCTTTGGTTTTTGAGCATGTTCCAGCTGAGAATTGTTTCTCAGGTTCTAAGATACAAAGGACCGTGTTTGTGGGTTTGGGGGAGGGGAAAGAACTTTTGAGTTTTTTTTAAATAAAAGAAGCCATTTTCACATGCGTATTTTGTGGACATTTGCCACTGCGGTTGTGCAGCTGACCAAACTGCAACCTTTTACCTTTGTGATCCTTGCATTGTTCTGTCTTCGCAAAATATTTTGATGAACCATTCTTTCTCATCATTAATGAAGAAATCAACAGAAATAATTGGAGAACCGTCTAAAGCCAGCTCAAGTGACAATTTTTCACTGCACTATGAAGAACAGCAGCTACGTTTGTAGGGTTTGTTGCTTTAAAGGAGTAAAAGTTGGTGTGTTTTTCACTATGAAGTCTGGATGTCATAACTTAAATATGGATCTGCTTTGTGAAGTAGAAACAGATGCTCCACATATCCCAGTGGAGCAGCATGTCCATTAGCACATAGAACCTTTATAGCAATTGGAACTCAGTAACCAAGTGCGGCTTCATGTCCACTTCTAAATGCAACTTCAAGAAATGCATACTGTCCTACTAGAAGTGACATCTGCTGTCACATTAACCCTATGTAAAATCTACTGTTTACAAATCTGTGGCTGAATTATTTCAGGCAAACGTCTCATTCCATTGCACTGGTGTTTTCTGCAACATTTTACCTGATATTAGTATAACTGAGGTAAAATATTGTGATTTTTAAGCTGAAGGTGCATGGAACCTAACACAAGTCTGGCGTGAGTCTTCGCACTACTTTTAAAAATGTTGCGCTTGAAGCTGACTGTGCGACAAAGCTGACCAAGTTCCTGGACCAAATAAACAATTTGTTCAATTGCAATCATTTGCATCTCTTGAGGGAGGTTCAAAAAGTAAAGTTGCTTCTTTTAGGTTCAATGAAACATTTTCAAATGCTTAAGAAAAAAATTGACTGAAGAACAGACAACTGCACCCCAAACTAACTGGGAGTTTTGCAAATTTTTAAACAATACATTTCAGTAATTAGGCTACGTACTCACATGTGGTGGATTGACACTTTGATTTAAAATGCTGATTTTTATTGTGTGCTGAGCTCATTTTCAGCTGCGTTATTTATTTTTACCAAGTTAATGCTCCTAAATTTCAAAGAATATTTTTAAAGCAAAGTTTATTTTTTTAAATTAAGTTTTACAGCAAAATACCCTTGGGTACTGGTTTCTGGCTGATTTTATGTTTGGTGATACTCAAATGAACTTAAACAAAAAACCTGTAGGGAAGAAACGACTTCTCAAAACGGGTACAGTTTTCTGATTACATCGAAAGCGGAGACTCCACGTCGAACCGCTAATGTATTTCCCATATGCTACCTCAGCAATTTTTTTCCCATAATAACTAATATACTTAATTCCAAGAACTTTTTACACATATACTTACTGTTTAGAACATATTCTCACCCCCAGCTCTACCACTATTTGGGTTTTGATTTAGACCCATGTGAAGAGCCTTTGGATATTGTATTACATGTAAAGGTGCTATATAAATATATGAGGTTGTTGTTGGATGTGGTTCCTGCAATTTCATCCAGGAGTTCAAACTCCCTTTCCTCAGCGCACAACATGCTTATTCATATGCTTTCATCCTTTTGCTCTTGACATCAGCAAAGCATCTCGTCTCCAGCCTTCACAGTCCGAGAATAAGCACCATACTGAAACCCAAATGTAGCCACACAACGAATACAGCACCGCGACTCATAGAGCTTATGTTGGAGTTCATATTCTTAGCCTAAGTTATTAGTGTATAAAGCACGATAAATTTCAAGTTGCTACAACTACTAATCATTACTTTTCTAGTTTATCTCTCCATTGATTCACACAGCTTTTGCGTTATTCTTTCAATATGGTAAGAGTGATAGAAGGGAGAGGAGTTGACTGTTCAGCTCCTTGTGTACGTTTCGCTATTCAATGAGATTGTGGTTGATCAGAATCTAGGCTCCATTTTCTTTTGTACCCTTGTCAAACAAATGTCTAGTGATTCCAGGTTTCAAACTTTTAACTGAGCAACTATCTTGTTTTTTGTTCAATCCTTCTCTTGAATGACCACTAATTCTGCTTTTAAAGTTTTATCCCCTTGTCCTAGACTCCCCCAGCAACAGGAAAAAAAAAGCTTATCTCCACTTTATCGGTTCCCTTCAAATCCCTAAAACTCTCAAGCAAATTATCCTGTAATATTCAATATTCCAAAAAATACAAAACAAGACCTTGCAATCTCTCGTCGGAATCAAAGGATTTGAACACTGGTGACAGATTCCGAAAATCTGGGTTGGGCTCTTTCCAAAGTCAATACCTTTTCGGAGATGTGGTACCTGGAAATGTACGCAGTCCTGCCAACGTAATTTAAACAGGGCTTTGTGCAATAGATTTATCTACCGTTTATAATGTACCCCCCTACTTATAAAAGCTAACAACCCATTAGTCTTTTTTGGATGCGTTTTCGGCTTGATTAGTACATTTTAGTGATATTTTTTCAGAGACCCTCAAGTCTTTTTGAAACACTTCATAGATTTACACCATTTAAGTTCATCCAAATCAACAAATGCAGCTTCAACACTTACATATCAAATGACTGCAAGCACTGGTGTGTTAGTTTAATGGATAAAATCTGTTTCTGAGGTCTTTCTCGAGATATCTAATACTGATCTAAACTTTTAATATTGATACTAGCAGAAATGATACATTTACACTTACTTTCCCGTAGAGAAAGCACAAAGTCACTTCCTCTATAGTGAGACAATCTTGTATGTTTAAACAGCTGACCAGACAACACTATGGTAAAGGTTTACTGAAGTTCTACTAAAGATATATTTTAGCCTGTAATTTTTAACAACTGTTGATGAATGGAAAAATGTAGTCATTAGCAGCGTGAAAATACTTGCTAAAGCTAGACAGTTCTTGCAACTTACAGATTTACTATCAACAACAAAAACACTTATGACCCAATTCATATTTCACATTCAGGTTTCTAACTCGCTTTTTGTTTTATTTACAAAAATCTAAATCACAGTTTGAAATGGAATAGTTCCTGACTGAGATCACAATTTACTTGCAGGACAGTGGGACAAGGTTGTAATAAATCTGGAGCGTTCGATTTAAGAGGGAGTTTGCTGAACAATACTGACAAAATAGAGGTTTGGACCAAAACGCGCAAGTTCAGCTCTCAGATATAGATCTGTGGCCTGTGGCGAGATGTGTGACGGAATGAGGAGACAAGTGCAGCAAGACCCATCTTCACATCGAGATCATCTCACCCTGTCTTTTATGTTTTTCACACGTGCGGTGGTGAGATTGCTGTTAGGCAGCGGTAAAAAAAACCATCATTGATAGTGAAATGCTTTATTAACGTCACAACTCACTTCATTGATATTTAGTCATCTTGCCAAACAATTTTGAGGTCGGGAAAACTCGACAAGATACTCAAGCAAGCACCTGGTGGATTCTGCTCACGGCTTGCTCCAAGCCACCTCCAATGTGGAAACCAGACACCAAAATCTTAGGGCACACTCCCTGGGCACAGACATTGGCATTCACCACGTGTCAGCCTCTAAGAACTTTCATGACATTACCAACACAGGGGATTGCTTCTGTACTTCAATGCTGCACCGACAGCTATTACTGTAATGCAGCAGCACAGATACTGAGCACCTCGGGGATACAGACTCAGCTCAATAGACTGTTCCAGGCTGCATCGCCGGGCTCTTCACTGGCTGTTATAACACTCATTCACTCACTCTGAGCCTACCAGAATGCTCACACAATCCCTACCTTGCCTTATATCCCCCTTTTTGTATTTCGCCTCCTCAGCCATAGTCACCTGGCTCATACTTAGCACAGGCATAAAACCAGGAAGCTTGTATTCCATGGCAGCAGGTCTCGGTAGAGTGAAGGGGAATAGCGTTCGCTGAGGGGTTCCTAGGACAATGGGCCAAGGGCAGCCTTCAGTAGCAGTCCAGGCCCTGCTCAGGGCAGTTAGAGCCTGGATCCTCTCCTAATAAAGGGTGAAAAGCCAAATATCAGACGGCACACCACCCCTCTCGAGTTTTTCTGTCCTATTCTACGGTGCTTTTCTCATGGAATAAGAGACAGGCAGGTATGGTGAGAGGCGAAATTGGATGGCACAGGTCTTACTGTTGGTGCAGGTGGGAAGGTGGCCCAAGTGACTGAGTAGATAGTGCAGAGGTCACGCAGGGTTCATGGTGTTGGAGCTGGGCTCAGTGAGAGCAAGTATGGAAATATCTTACAGGCAATAGGGAGAGCTGTAGCACATCAGCCTTGGTGGGAGAGGGAGACAGTATCGGAGATACAGTGTAAGAGATTGGAGAGAAGATGGTGTCACTTAATGATAGTGGGCTGGAGAAGAATATTAGTCTTTTTTTTTCGAGCGTTGTTGGACATTTGTCCTGACAGCTGAGATTGTACACACCTGAGTGACAACCTCAGCCCAGGCTGACATGGTCTGCTGTGCTGGCCTCCACCCAGAGGAGGAAGTCCTGTGTCAGCACCATTCTGTCCAGCAGAACCTCCAGGATCCTGCCCACAAAACAGGGTGCTAAACTCCCTCTGTCTGCCACATCCAGTGCAAATGTCAGGAACCGTGCAGGGCAGCTCCAGACTGACAGTGCTTGTCCAGGGTTTTTTAAAAGATGGCACAGCACAAAGAGTGCCAATGAATTCCAGGATATCCGCTGAGAGGTGGGAAAGGCTTTTGGCAGGATAGGGCAGAAATCAGACATGGGAGACACCATAAGAGCATGGTAGGCAATTAATGAGGCCGGTTTGTAATAGATGATGAGAAAACACATTAGGTCTCATAGTGACAAAACCCTCCAAAAGACTTAATGCAATTCAGACAGAGAC